TTCCAACTCAATTCCGTAAGTTCACAATTTTCCCAAATTAATTATACCAATTAATTTTAAACAACAAATTAGGGCTTGTACCCCCAACTCTAGATATTAACCCGAAGGTTCCAATATCACCAACCAACAACTATATCATCACTTTGAAACCCAAAATACAAGTTATGAGCCCAAAATCACAAAACCCTTTTTACACATTTTGAAACCCTAAGTCCCAAAATTTCCCAAGTTCAACACTCTATCAAAACAACTAAAAATCTAGGTCAAAGACCATAAGAGTGAGTAGGAATGACGGGGCTCTGACGAGATAGCCCTCGACGATCAACAACTCTTTTGTAAAGGCCAAAGGTGAGGAGAGCACCCTAGCTAGATCAATACTTAGAGAGAAGTTAAGGTTTTAGAGAGAGGAGCTCTCAAATGGCTTTTTCGGAAAAGTAAGAGAGAGAAAGAATGAGAAAAAGTGATTTAAAACTGTCCCACAGCCAACTGATATACGACATTCCCGCTCAAGCAGAAAACACAACGCTCGAGCGTCAAGAACAAAAACTAGGTCCGCTCGAGCGCCAAGACACAAGAATAAAGCACATTCGCTCGAGCGCGAAAACCAATCCGCTCGAGCGTAGATTTCCCCCTCCCAGAACTTACATCGAAAAGGTACTACCCGCTCGAGCGCCATAGTACCCGCTCGAGCGCCGCCGCTCGAGCGTAAAGAAACCCGCTCGAGCGTAAAAATCACATCTGCAGAAGTTTTGCAGGGACACGAAAAACTGGGAGTGTGCAATCCCCGCTCAAGCGGACCGCCTAAAAACTGGGCAACAAGAAATTGAAACCAAGGCCTAACCAACCTATAATAACCCTGCCCAAAACATCCTAAAACTCAATCAAGCGGAATCAAAGGACGACAACAAGATAGATAGAACTACCAAATTCACGGAACCAAGTCCGGAACACAACAGAATAGTAGAGGGACAACTGAGATCGCTATAAACTTCTTGCCTTTTGGCCACATCTGTTGGACCATAGACATTAACAATCACACAATTAAACAAGGAAAACAAAGTACCTGACATTAGGATGAAATTCCAGTTGCCACAGCACTCATGTACTTGAAACACCATTGGATTCCATACACAGAGCAACCCACCTACTCTACCTTCCGCATCTACTGCCATATACTCAAAATGGTTTTCATGCCAGATGGATTTTACTACTTCGGTTGTGATGCTTGATCTCTTTGTTTCTTGTATCATCACTAAGCTAATTTGCCTCTTTGCCAAACTACTTCTGATCTTTCTCCTTTTCTCCGGTCTTCCAAGGCCTCTAACATTCCATGATTGTATCTTCATAACAAAAATTGTTTACCCCTCAAAACTCCTAGAGCCTCACTGCTCAATTTTCTTCACCTCCCCTTCTCACCTCTTTTCTTTTATTCGTGGCCTCCAATTCCTCTAGCTTACTCATCACCTCCCCCTCATTTCCATCACAGTCAACCCCCAAGACTTTTCCAATTTGAATTGATGATTCTGCCTCTTTGCTAATCACCTCCTCCTCCTTGCCATCACAATCGACCTCTAACAGTTTGCTAATTTGAAGAGATGCTTCTGCATCTGATAATTGTAAACGACCTCTACTAGACTTGCTGGCCATGGAAAGTGAGATAGCAGCTACAGCAGATCGAAAAACTGCCCTTTTTCTTAGATTCAGTGATGATTGCATTGCTGTCTTTCCCTCTTTGTGCTTCCACTGCTTCAGAGTTTTCTGTCTTCTGCTTGCCTCTCCTATCTCCTTTAGCTTATTCCTATGGATAGGGGCTGAGTTCACCTTATTTTGCAATGCTTTGGGCTGCTCCACCCTGTTAACCTGCTTAGTTATAGAGTGAAGTCTATGATTAGCCCAATTACTTGAGTTTTCAGCCCATTGGGCCGACCCCTTCTTGCTTGACTCCAAGTGGGCCCTATTTAAATCCACCTCTAAATTAATCCCCTGCTGTAGCCCAACAGGCCCACTTAAACTTTTTATAAAACCAGATTTGAAAACCTCATCATCACCTCTACAGCTATCCTCCTTGCGTGCGCCACCTCCCTCTGGCTCCCCTAGACAGAGTCTCCTGACAGAACCATCCTTACATTCAGCGCCTTCCTCTAACCCACCCATCATCAATTCTGACGACTCCACCACCGAGAGCTCCCTCAATCTAGTTTCCTCGTCCATGTCATTACTGCAAACATAGGGTATCTGCCTATCCCCTTTTGCCAATACACAACCCTTAGCCACCTCAACACCCACATGTACTGCCACATCATCATCTTCTTCCTCCTGTCTGCTACCTCTATCTACAACAGTGTTTTTTACTTCCTCAAAGCTGGAACTAACTTCATTATTCCTCATAAAGGATTGACAGATGCACTGTTCTTTCACTATTTTTGAAACTATTGTTTGTTCCTCACAAATCCTTACTGGATAAAATACACCATTACACTCCAGGTTGATTGTGTGATTAATGGTGTCCATACATCGTGTCTCTATCTTTACTTTCCCGTAGTGGAAAGTTGACAGATTAATTGTGTCCTCATCCATTTCAAGAACTTCACCCCATTCTCGACCAATGTTGCAAAAAGTGTTATTATTCCATAGGATCAATGGCACCCCATAGCAACTAATCCACACCTGCCTCACCTGTTCAAAGACCATGCCTTCTTCCCACTCCTCTACCGAATCACACCAATCATTAAGTCATTCCTGCATTAGCAATAAATTCTCCCTCATAGTTTCCACTGATTGAAAGGATAGGATTATTTGCTTACCACCTCCTATTTGAACTTTGATATCACCATACCCACGTCTGCGTATTTCATCCTTCAGATCAGCAGCCGAGAGATGAATTTTTACCCTTGCTACTGCACTTTCAGACAGCCATCTATTCCCTCCTCTCTGAACCTTCATAGTGCGAACTGAACTGGATTGAAGAACCCTGCCTCTGACCACATTAGTGTAGGACTTATTCCTTTGATAGGCGACATTTGCAGATTGATTACCTTCCCTTCTCCTCCACTGTTGCACTGGAAGTGCCTTTCTTGCCCTTTTATCATATTCCTTCTGATACTCAGCCATTTTAACTTTTAATGCTTTATCGTCACACCAAAGTCCATTTGCTTTTTGCAGAGCCATATTCGCTGCTACCGGACAATCATACCTGATAAACCCGAATCGAGATCCTGTAGATCTTCTTTTCTTGTTTGGAATATACGAATCCAACACAACTCCATAGTTTGAGAAGATCTTAAATAGCCCTTGTGCCCCCATAGATACTGGTATGTTGTCTAGAAATACAGAATATATATTTTTTTCCCTCTTAGCCCCACCTCCTCGACCTCCATGTCTGCGGACCACTGGTTGCCATCCTCCAAGTCAAAGCTTACTGGACTGCCCCTCGTACTCTTTGCCCAATCCCCATGGATGCCCACTGGTTGCCATCTTCTTTCTTCTCTCTATTCAAACATGCCACTTAGCAAACGTTTGGAGTTGCTTAAAATTCTTCACACACCATAAACATGTAATATTAATTGAATTTGCATACTGATCTACATAGCTACTAGCCAACTAAGGGCATGCAGAAATTGCAGCATCTACGAACACTAATGTAATGATGAACCAATGAGATAGTAAACAAGGAAATATAGAGAATAGTCCACTGGTGTTCTGAAGAGACCAACCCATCCAGGCAAAAAAATGACAAATCCAAAAAAAAAAAATGGAATTGTGAATAAAAATACAAAAAGAATGTTGGACTTTAACAATGCCTAGAAAATTATTCAAGGAATTTGGTACTTAAATAGGTTGCAAAAAACAATTGCCACAGTACGTTTGTAAGAGGCATGTGCACAGAGAGAGAAAGACTGGCCAGATGTAAATGATAGGTTTGACAATTTTGTAAAATAAAAGCAAATATGACATCAATACCACATGCACAAAGAGACATGCATGTGTGCATGATTAACAACTGGCCTTGCACAGGTCATTCAAAGAAGGTCTTCTGAAATTAGCCTCATCCCCGTGTTTGAAGATCAAAGAGGTGTCAATCACTCTTCCATAATCCAACTTTAGAGCTGTAAGTAAAAAATCGAGAAAATAATATTCAAAGCTATCGGTAGTAAATAGCACAAACTTGGTGTAAGAATAGTTGTCAAATAGTAAATCGAAATTGTCTTTTTCAGAATTGTGAGTCAAATCAAGAAGTGAATCATAAATATTTGGTCATAATTTCTAATTTACATAGAAAAATATATCTGTTGCATTAGATATTAAAAATATATTATATATATGAAAATTTTAGACATAAATCAATGAAAAAGGCTCTAATAGGTAAGATGCTTCTATGACGGTAAGTGGGATCATTGGTACAATGGTCCCATGTAAGATCACAACCTTTTCTTTTCCCTTTTATATATTTTTCATCAATTATTTTAAATAAAGAAAGCAAACAAACCCAAACTCTAAATTTCGCAGCAACAATAACTCAATTTTCCAAATCTTCAAACTTTGTAAAAATACTCAATTAACGCCTTCAAAATATTCCTTTCGTAAGTGCAAAAAATTGAATAAAGTTAACTAAGCGTAGATTATAGTAGAGAAAGGAAAAAGAGTTTTTCTTCCCCAGGATTTGAGTCTTTGAGAGAGGGAGGGAGAGAGAGACAAAGGATGGAATATAATAACCCTAAAGACCTTAAAAAGATTGTTTCGAACCCTTTTCCAGCAAAAAAAACAAAACAAAAAGGGGCCAAAAATCGAATTCAATGAATTGATCTATTCAGTGATTTAGTTACGATTCATCGAGATTTACAATTCATGCAACCTGTTTTTATCGATCACCTCCTAAATTGTATTGAATCATACGATTCAAATCACAAATGTGCAATTCCAAAAACAGATGTAAGAAATTAAAATCAGCTGACAGCTAGTAGCCAATGGCAAACAAATACATGGGATAACTATATTAACGAAGAATAATACTTATTTCAACTGTCATGCAAATAGAAATATTTATAAGGAAAATTAATATTTAATCATACAACTTAGCTTACCTTTTAGATCATTGTTCAAACTGTGGCCAATTAATACTGTTTTTCCATCCCGTAAAAGCTTCTTCATTGAGTCCTATAAATTCACCAGAGAGAAAGACATTCAAATGCCAACTAACTTTTATTCATTTAGTTATTTTATATTTCAAATGATTTTTAGTTATTTATATATTAAACTTTTACCTAATTATATTTTTGGCTGTGCTGTTTGCAATTTACTTCAAAAACTAACCACATATTACCTGTACATTAGCCAATGAACAAGTAACTCCATCCAAATCTTCTGCACTGACCCCAGTAATATCACTCCTATAGTCTGCAACTGCTTTATTCGGATTTACAAGTTCGTTAAGTTTGACCTGAAAAACTCCAAATTCCAAAACACAACATCAACTTGGGAAGTGAAAAGAAAATTGTTCAATTGAGACCTCTGAGACGTCTAAAATTGTCAAACTAGTTGCAACATAGGTAATTCTTTTGCACCTGTGTTTCTGTGCGTGAGGTGAGAGGGAGGTATTACGAAGTCATGCTGCACAAAAATTTGAAAACAAACTCAAACAGTACCTGTAGATTGCGCCCAACAGCACAAACCCTCACCAGAGCTTCAGTGCCATCTTCACAGAGAACCATCTCACAATCAACGGCAAGCATTTTTGGAAATTTCTTTATCTGGTTTGTACTGAGCTTCATTCTCAACCATCCCTGAAGTTAAGAAGAAGACAACACAAATCAATTAACATAAAAAAATCAACCATAAAGGAAATCAAAAAACTAAAAGAAACCTTCATTGTTTACTTGTCTCGTTTGGTAACTCACTGTTTTACCCTAAAAGTCAAAAAGTCGCTAAAAAAACTAAAAAGCCAACAACATATACCATGGGATTGCACACATATGTTTCTCATTAAGTTTGATGGGTTCGGCAGCTCTAAGAAAGCCAAAACCTTGTGCTCCTGTATTGTTTGTGCTATTTTCTGGATTATTTTGCGGGAAAGGAATTCAAGGATCTTTGATGGAAAGGAGGCTGCAGTAGATTCTTTGTGGGATAGGGCTGGTTTTTTGGCTTCATTTTGGGCTTTTGTGTCTCCTCCGTTTAAAGGAGTTTCACTTTTCTTGATTTCTAGGGATTGGTTTGCTATTTGCAACCCCTAGTGTATGGATTTTCTTGTTTTCTCTTTCTTTGTTTTTTTGATAGATGTTTTTATTTTGATTGGGTTCTTGTTCATTGTATGAGGACTTCTTGTCCTCCTCTCTTTCTTCTTTAATAAAACTTCTTGTTGGCTTTCAAAAAAAAAAAAGTCAAAGATTCTATTGTCCCTCTACTTTTTGCACATCTTTTCGTAAAAAACTAAAAAGTCATTCCGAACATACTAATTTCTTTTACCTCATATTTTAAAGTCACTTAAATAGTATGTTCTCAAACAAGGCTTGAGAGTAGAAACCGTCAATTAACAATATTAGAAAGAACTTAAATTCCATTAAATACAAGCAAATAGGGCACCTCTTATTTGTTGGTTTGCAACAAATGAACTTACTTGGACATATGTTTTCACTTTGCACAAAATTTATGTTGGACATGAAAAAAACTCAGGTTGGATTTTTTGACACTACATGAACCAGATACAAAGTTGGCCAGTTAGGGTTGACTAGTTAACAACATGAACCTCAAAAGTGACACAATACGATAACGCGCACACTCAAAAAATAAAAGCAAATTGGGTTAACGTCAAACCTACATAACTCGAATTTGACATGTCTAACCCATTTAAAGGTGCTATTGTAGCAGTTCTTGGAGTTAGTTATGAGTTAATTTTTTGTGTTAGTTTTATTTTATGATTTTACTTTTTATTATTGACAGTCATACTTGTTTGGAATACTAATTTAGCTAATTGTGTTGATTGAGACTTTTTATCTATTTGACTATTTGTGAGATTATTTCAACTTCTACTTTTGTGGATTACTCATGAAACATGAACCTCAAAAGTGACACAATACAATAGCTTACACACCCAAAAAAAAAAAAAAAAAAAAAAAAAAACAAATTGGGTTAGTGTCAAACCTACATAACTTGAATTTGATATGTCTAACCCGTTTGAAGGTGCTAGTGTACAAGTTCTTGGAGTCAATTATGAGTTAATTTTTTGTGTTAGTTTTTTTTTGGGTTTTTACTTTTTATTATTGGAAGTCATACTGGTTTTGGATACTAATTTAGCTAATTGTGTTGATTGAGACTTTTATCTATTTGACTATTTGTGAGATTTTACTTCTACTTTTGTGGATTACTCATGAATTTTTGAGTTGTTTTTATGGATATCATATAGTCATTGTAGATGTTGATGAATATATGCGTTTATTCTTGTTAATGGATTAAACATGTATACATAACCTAAGAAGCATGGATACGGACACGTGACACGACACGGACACGCCGACACGTTATTTTTCAAAAAATGCAGAACACGACACACAAGGGACACACATGAAATATATAATTTTATATATTTATTATATGTTATATATATGAATATATCATTTAAAGATAATAAAAAAATGTAATGCAACACTAATTCCTATAAATTTATATGATTTTTGTTTTATTATTGTATCTTAAGTTGTTTTGTTCAAACTTATAATTAGTTTCACATGTGTCTAATCGATAGACACGTGTGTTTAAGCAACAGACACGTGTGTCCTCCAAGTGTCCAAAGAGTGTCCAGGTCTTCAAAAATAGGACACATTTTGAAGAGTGTCGGACATGTGTCTTAAGAGTGTCCATAGAGTGCCGATGTCCGACACGGACACGACATGAATACGTCACATTCTTAGAAATGTTTGTGCTTCTTAGTACATAACAAATAGGATGTGCACATTAATCAAGGCATGCAGGTCATAATCAGGTTAACACTTTTATAAATAGGTCGGGTTAGTGTTAAGGGAATTCTCACTAGGGCTGCAAACGAGCTGAGCCGAGCCGAGCTTTGCTGAGCTCGAGCTTGGCTCGTTTGCTTATCGAGCTCGTTTATTGAGCTCGAGCTCAGCTTGATAAGTAACTGGACTCGAGCTCGAGCTCAACTTGACTCAACTCGCTAATATTAATGAAACTCGGGCTCGACTCAGCTTGGTCCAATGAGATTTTTTAATATTACCTATATTATTTAGATAAAAAATATTATTTATATTATTTAATATATAAATAATATATTTATTATTTAATTTAAATAAAGACAAACGAGCCGAGCTTATTCGACCTTGAGCTCGGCTCGTCTTATTTACTAAACGAGTCGAGCCGAGCTGAGTCTGTTCGTGAACTGCTCAGTTCATTTGCAACCCTAATTCTCACAAACTGGAGATGACATGAAACAAACAAAGATGAATAAGACAGATTCCCTCCCCCCAAAAAAACATTGAATTTTTATAATTAGCCCGCAGAATTTAGTCTCGTTTCTTCAAATTGCAATAGACGAGCATGCAGCAAATTAAGACTAACTATTTTCAACTATATTTAAAGGGACAACAGTGGCTACTTCTGGACCATGCTCCATATGGTATCAGCTAGAGCTGTCTCCTTCGGTACATGCACGATCATAGATATCAATTGCATTTTCACCAAGAAGTAACCGTATATCTCGCAAAATTTGAATTGGTCTTTCCACTCATTAATGTGTCATCATCGGCAAAAAAAAAAAATAGTACACTAATTCTCTTGGCACCAGAAAGTACAAAGCAACCAATATTTGTAACATATGCTTCTTAATAAATTCAATATTCAAATAATGTCTCTCCCTGCTATTGCACAAAAAGCAAGGAATTTTCTTAGTAAAGAAGAAAACAAGCTGCAAATGCAGTAGCCCAATCTGATAAACCAAACCAAACCAAACCAAACCCTAAGTCCCATCAAATGGGGTCGGCCAATAGCCCAATCTAATGCACAATTATAAACTATAACACCTAGAAATGACATATACAATAGGAGAACGGATACTTATCAAATGCAAAAAAAGAATCAGCAGATTATATACCAATTATTCCAAAAGGTGGTAATAGAACGAGTCTCATTGAAATCACCCAATTGATTAAAAAGTAATTTCAAATCCATGATGATTTTTCTTTCAGTTCTATAGAAGGGGAAACCAAGCGTAAAAGTTGCATGCAAGAGTTCGTCATTGAAGGCAGTGATTTCTGTTGTTCAAAATTGTGAAATTAAATAAATAGATTTATGAAGAAAACAAATTATATACCAAGAACATATGCTGATAATTACAACTAAATTTCAACAAAAATACACAAAAAACAATAAAGGGTAAAGAGACAAAACCGAAGCCTGCACGGAAGCAGTTTTCTTAAAACAGATTCCGCCGCCTCACGGGTCGAGTGCTTGAGGAAACCCGGCGTCTGTCTCCCAGGATACGGCGGTCAAAACCAGCTACGGCAGAAGCACTATCTGTCTAGCTTAGCGAACAAAACAATGGCAGCACTCTCTCACAATAGGAACTATCAAGCAAACTGACTTGTAAAATGGAAGCAAAAATTTCTATATTGAAACTTGACAGGAGGGTCTCAATTTATACATGTATAGGGGAGAGAGGAAAAGCCTCCAGCCTTTAAGGCTAGTCATTAAAACACCAAGCATCCATAGCCCCTTTCCACAAAATGAAAAGTATGGATGCCCAAAGGATTCACACCCTTTAGCCAAGAAAAAAGATTTAAATACCCTTTAAAATCCTATTCATGAATCTAACATCTATCCCATTAAACCATAATTGTTATATGTATTCCAGAAATACTAGAGGGTTAAGCACGTAAAACAGAGCAAACAATATTTTGCAGCATGAAG